ACCAATAGGGTAATTAATCTCAGACCTGACTCACTAATACTTTGCCCTTCAAGCCATCAAACTATTGGTGCTTCTCTTCTCCCATTCTGAAAAATTAAAAAGCGATGTGATTACTATTTGCCTTACTTAGGGTTCATTCAGGAAAACAGACACTCTTCTAAGTATATCAACCAGCAAGACATTTAATATAGGGAATTGGAGGCTTAGGCAACCACTCCGAGGGCTGGGGAGTGAAGGGCAGAGTCTGCCAATGATCTCTGCTGCTTATACACCAAAGAGGTCTTTCTAAGGAGAATGCCTGGAAGTTTCTGGAAAAGGGCTGTATCTGCTGTCTGCAGATGCCCACATGTCTGTATATGGCTACCAATAGCAAATGAATGGCATCTCCTCTTGTACCTCTGGAATTGCCTATGAGTGCTTCTCATTGGCAGTCTAACCTGGAGCCATGGGATATTGCAAGATGTAGTTCTGAAGCTTCTCAGGGAAAAATGTAGGATGAGGAGAAGTTGACAACGAAGTCTGTGGCAGAAAAAAACATTTGAGTCTGAATAGAGGTATACATATATAGCACATTTTAGGAAGAAGAACACTCAAGTCAGATGTTGGCAATGTTGCTACTAGTATTATTACCTTATTCTAGGTATGTATCTTTGGAAGGTAAATAGGGATTCTTTATATCTGTTCTGATTGTTCTGATTCTCTTCAAGTTATGGTGATGCTACATAAATAATAAAAAAGGATTCAATAACCTGCATAGATGGTGCAGAAGGTAATATATTCTGTGAGGCTCTGTGGTGCAGTGGGGGGTCCCAGAGATGAGGTTTAAAAAACAATGCATAATTCACCAGCATGCTCTGGAAAGACCAGTCTTCAGAAAACAATTGTGAATGACTCAGCTTGTTCATTTGTTCGTTCTCTTTCTTTCCTTCGTTCTTTCTCTCTCTCTCTCTTTCTTTCTCTCTCTCTCTCTCTTTCTTTCTCTCTCTTTCTCTCTCTTTCTTTCTTTCTTTTTCTTTCTTCTCTCTCTCTCTCAAACTGTCTGGAATTCTTGCTATAGTTATGCATATGACTTATAGTGAGCTGATAAAATATAGTGCAAAGTTAAATACAATGCAGGAAATAATAGAATAATCTCAGAATGAGGTAACCTGTAGACATACGAACTAGTTTGGTGTTGGGGGTAGAGCTGTAACCTCTAGTTATCTGCTATCTGGGTCACATCAAGCTTTTAGTGTGTGTAACTCACAGGGTTTTGAAGGTATAATTTGATCTGTGCTATACTTGAGTCTCTGAAACAGCAAAACCCATTATGACTATGTCCTACAGCCCTTGTAAAATCCTAAGTCTTGAGTTTCAGGATTCTGCTGATATTTAATATTTGAATTATTTCAAGGAAGATAAGGAAAGTGTACTATCTTATTCTGTTTATTTCTTGAGTGAGGAAAATTGAAAGGGACTAAAGGAAAGAACTCGTTGCCAAAAGCAGCGTCCAAAGGTCACTGGTTTTGCTTTGCGGCTTTGCTGGAATAAAACCAATGTGTTTGGGGTTGCCTAGGTCTTACATTAGGTCATCTGGAGGCAGATCTGGAGATGAGAATTCCTGTTTAAGTGATTTACTAAACAAATACTCCCAAGAGAAATCAGTAAGGGAATGGGAGAAGCAAGACAGGGAGGGGTGAGAGTCCAATTTCAGGAGACATCTCAGAACTAGTCTGATCCTGCAGGGAACTTTGGAAGTACAAATTATACCTCAGAGTTTGTCCTGAATTGAGGCAAGGGGGCTGTGCTTTCATATTGCTGCTTAGGGCCGCTTGGGCGGAGGCGGAGGCGGAGGCGGAGGCGGAGGCGGAGGCGGAGGTGCAGGTGCAGGTGCAGGTGCAGGTGCAGGTGCAGGTGCAGGTGCAGGTGCAGGCAGGGTGGGTAGAAGGCAAATAAACTCTCAGGAACTAGCTGTTTTTGATTGCAGGCAAGGAGCTCTAGTAGCTCCTAGGGCAGGCCTTCAAAAACTCTCAGGTGTTGGCCATTAGAAAAGAAAACCAGATGCTAGAGGGAGGCACAGAAGTTATAAAAGGGATCCCACGGAATCTGGTCAGAGCCCTGACAGTGTACTTGTAAGCTTGTCTTTTGCTTTTATGAAACCCAGAATCTGGGGAAGGGAGAGAGAAATTTTTCACATGGAACTGTGAAGTTTCTCTAAAGCAAGGGTTGACGAACTTTTTCTAGAAAGGGCCAGATAAAATATTTGAGGCTTTGTGGGCCACAGGGTGTCTGACCCAATTATTCAACTCTACAACTGTACTGCAGAAGCAGCCATAGATGACAGGTAAACAAATGAGTGTGGCTATGTTCCAATAAAACTTTATTTATAAAAACAGGGGTAGGGTAGCTGGATTTGGCCCAGGGACCATATTTTGCAAATCTCTGCTCTTGAGGTTCTTCATATGTGCCTAAGTTTGTTTTCCCTTTATTTATACCCTATCTGTTATAAAACACAGAGGATCATTAGTACCTTTGTCTATCTAAATGATGGTTACGACATTATGATGTATCTTAAATTATTCTAGACCACTGCCTCCAATCTTCCTGGCATCCTGGCCATCTTTCACAATGTTGCAGAGATAATCTTCCTGAAGCATGACTCATCTCCTTTTATTCCCATGCTAAACATATTTAGCTCTCTCTTAGCTGTAAAATAAAATTTAGGCTTGTTAACATGGCACTCAGGAATCCCTGTGATCTGACCCCAGGCCAATTTTCCTGCCTTATTTTCTGCTCTCCATCCTCATGTACTTATAATCCTGCTACATTAAATTACTCACCCTCTCTTCAATATGCCATTATCGTGTGTGTTTGCTATCTCCTCGTAGTTTTTTTCATTTTTATGTATTTAAGCTGACTACATATATATACTGACAAAATTATATATATATATGATGTACAACATGATGTTTTGATACATGTATACATTAGAGAATGGATAAATTAACATATCCATCACCTCATATATTTATCATTTTTGTGATAACATTTAAAATCTACTCCCTTAGCCATTTTCAAGTGTACAATACATTGTTATTAACTATAGTCACTATGTTGTACAATACATCTCCTAAACTTATTCCTCTTATCTAACTGAAATTTTGTATCTTTTGACCAACTCCCTAACCCATTCCTCCACCCCTGGTAACCACCATCCTACTATACTGTCCCCTATGAGTCTGACTGTTTCAAATTCCACATGAATGAGATCATGCAGTATTTGCCTTTCGGTGCCTAGCTTATTTCACTTAGCATGAAGTCCTACAGGTTCATCCACGTTGTCACAAGTGACAGGATTTTCTTCTTTTTTAAAGCTGAATAGTATTCCATTGTGTATATATACTACATTTTTAATCCATTCCTCTGTCGATAGACATTTAGGCTAATTCCATATCTTGGCTATTTTGAATAGTGCTTCAGTGAACATGGAGGCGCTGATATCTCTTTAGCGTACTGATTTCATTTCCTTTGGCTATATCCCCAGAAGTAGGATTACTGCTTCGTATGGTAGATATATTTTTAATTTTTAGAGGAACCCCCATAGCGTTTTTCTTTTCTGTTTTTTTTTTTTTTTTTTTTTTTGAGACAGAGTCTCACTTTGTCGCCCAGGCTGGAGTGCAGTGGCGTGATCTCGGCTCACTGCAAGCTCCGCCTCCTGGGTTCACGGCATTCTCCTGCCTCAGTCTCCTGAGTAGCTGGGACAACAGGTGCTCGCCACCATGCCCGGGTAATCTGGTTTTTTTTGTATTTTTAGTAGAGACGGGGTTTCACCGTGTTAGCCAGGATGGTCTCGACCTCCTGACCTTGTGATCTGCCCGCCTCGGCCTCCCAAAGTGCTGGGATTACAGGCGTGAGCCACCGCGCCTGGCTTCCATAGTGTTGTTCATAGTGACTGTGTCAAATTATATTACCATCAACAGTGCTCAAGAGTTGCCTTTTCTCCACACCCTTGCTAACACTTATTATCTCTTGTGTTGTTGATAATTGCCATTCTAACTGGTGATAGGTAATATCTCATTGTGTTTTAAATTTTTATTTCCCTGATGAATAATGATGTGGATCATTAAAAAAATATGTTGACCATTTGTATGTCTTCTTTTGAGAAATGTATTTTCATTTTATTTTCCCTTTTTAATTACTTAACTTATTTATTTATTTTGAGACAGGTTCTTGTTCTGTTACCCAGGCTGGAGTGCAGTAATGTGATCATAGCTCACTGCAGCTTCTACCTCCCAGGCTCAAGTGATCCTCCTGCCTCAACCTCCCAACTAATTGGAACTATAGGCAGGTGCCACCATGCCCGGCTTATTTTTATTTTTTATTTTTGTAGAGACAGGGTCCCACTGCGTTGCCCAGGTTGGTCTTGAATTCCTGGCCCCAAGCAATCCTCCTGCCTCAGCCTCCCAAAGCTCTGGGATTACAGGCATGAACCACTGTGCCCGACCTCCTTTCCCCATTTTTTAACCAGGTTATTTGCTTTATTGATATTGAGTTGAGTTTTAAATATATTTTGGATATTAACCCTTTATCAGATGTATGGTTTGTACATATTTTTGCCTCCATCTTTGCCCCTGTTTCTTCTCCTGGAATGTTCTTCTAGCTCTACGTTTTGAAATCCTAACCATTCTCTAAGACTCGATTCAGTCACCTTCTCCATTAAGCATTTTCTCCATGCAGAAACAGTCTCTGCTCTGGACTTTGATAACAATATTGTCTATTTCTATTAAAATTTTTATTTTGTTTACATTGTACTAGACAGTTATTTGCTACATTCACTACATTTTTAGTATACCGAGGTCTTTCAGTATATATCTATCTACTTTTGCCCTTCACAGTGGCTTGCATATAGTAGATATTCAGTAAATGGAGTTTTCAGATGAAGGGCACATTTCTACATCTTGTGATTATTAATGATTTAAGTGCTGAAACTCTGACATTATTTTTCTTTTTCCTTTTTATAGGCGAGAGCTGTTTTGGCAAAAGTTGGCTATCCAGACTTTATAATGAATGATACTCATGTTAATGAAGACCTCAAAGCAGTAAGTGCTATATTTATTGTACTTTTTTTTTTTTTTTTCCCCCTGGCAAGTTTTACTGGCCTTGTGCCTTTCAACTAACCCAAGTCCAAGCAATTAAAACTGGTGATGCCAGAAAACACCAACTTTTGATTAATTCCTTGGCTAGATATGAGCCTGAATATGCCAGGCAGATCACAAGATTTAGGGCAGATTCAAAATAAAGGAAGTGTCAGAAACGATGCATAGCTGAGTGGGTACCATAAAACAAATGGACTTGGGTTTGGCCTAATTTGATCATAAAAGAAAGAATTAAGCAAATTGAGTATTTTACAATTAGTGAGCATGTTCTAATGGCAAATGCATCATGTTTGTTGTTAAACACTTTTTATTTGCTTCATTCATATTAAATGAATAGTAATAAATCTGCCTACTGGGACTTAACTTCATTAAACTTTATGAGTGGTTTGGCAAATTAAGTGCATATACATATGACTCTGTAATTTATTGTGAATTGGATTGTGTATTTGCAGTAAGTTACTGATGAAAAATAGTCATAATTCTTTTTTATTCCAATATTTTTGGACATATATTTTCCGGTAGGTATATTAATTATAGGCCTTTCTAATCACAACGACTGTTATTTCCTCTCCTACAAATAGTTCTGATAAACGATTTTTCTTCCTCATTAAAAAAACCTGTTTTTACCATTCACTAGATTGTCTTGAAAACGTAGTCTTTTGAAAGTCTTTAAGTAACTATGCTTCTGAGGTATAGCTCTTTCCTGAAATTGTGGCTCAACAAGTGGCATATCTGAAAGCAATCCCGGCTTTGGAGACGAGCATCAAAATTTTACAAGACTATTCAAAAGTGAGAGAAAGCATTAATTAGAATCTTCCTCCATTGGGCTCTAAGATATAGTCTCCCAAAATATTGATACAGTTGCTCTGGAAGAAAATAATTATGCCTCATAGCATCCTAAAACTCCGACAGTCTATCTTATTTTGTTTTGATGATGCTGAAAATTCCATTATTATTATCATAACTAAAAATATTGAAGCACTTGACATATTCATGTACATTAACTTCTAATTCCTTCAGTGATTCTGTGAAATAGATGATGTTCATTCCCATTTTGCAGAAAAGGACATAGAGACTCAATAATTTAAGTGAGCTCCTCAGTTGCACACAGAGTTTCAGAGCCAGGACTGAAATCTGGGCTCAGGAGGCTCTGCCTGTAATCAGAGAAGGGGTTCTTGAGGGTCCTTTTTAGGCAGCTGTGCTGGAGGAACAGAAGCGTCAGGGTGGAGACTTGGTGGGGGCAGTGTGACCAGAGCTGTTGGAAGAAGAGCAGAGGGAAGGCCATCTTATCAAACGGTTAAGAGCACAGGCTCCAGTGTCATGGGCCTGGGTTTGAATTCTGCTTCTTCCACTGACTAGCTGTTTCATCCTGTGTAGGTTACTTAACTTCAGTTAGCCTCCCTTTGGTATCTGGCTACTGGAAATATCATAATCAAGTCTTAGTATTGTTGGGAAGATTAGATGAGATTATATAAACGTAAAAGCACCTGGCATAATACTCTGACACAGAGTATAGCCTACTCCCTATAAAGGGGAGCTTTAATATGGACCATTTGTGGTCCATTTTCAAATCAGCCTTATAAAATATTCCATTTCATTGATCCTTAATAGAAATAGACTGCAGCGTGAATTTACAGGAAAGCAAAAAGCACACTGGGTATTTTAAACAGGGAATTTAATACGGGAAATAGGTTGGAAGGCAAGAAAAGGGAAAATAGATAAACCACAGGTTAACCTGCTGTTGCTATAAGAAGAATATCACCAGGGCACAAAGTACCTTAGCAGGAGAACCTGGGTAACTCCATACAATTGGTACATATTCTGAGTCAGGATGTGGATGAGAAGGTTTGAGAGACAGTTTGGTGTAGAGGTTATAAATAGGGACCCTGGAGTCAAAGTGCCTGGAGTAAAACCCCCAGTCTACCATGTACTACCGTGTTACCTAGGGTAGGTTAAGTATCCTCTCTGTGCCTTTCTTCATCTGAAGAATGAAGGTGATACAAATCCCTCCCATATAGCATTTCTGGGAGGATCAAATAAGTTAACATATTTAAAGTGTTTAGAATGAACCTGAGCATACAATCAGCACAATGTAACTGTTAGCTATGACATCCTCAATTCACACTTGTGGTAGTGGACATTTTGGTTTGAAAAAGTCCTCATGAATTAACTCATACACTGTCCAGGTCCCTCAAATTGATTTAAAAGGGTCTACAGATGGAGCCGTCTCAAGCTTTAATCGAATAAGGTAGCACTTAAGGCTTACTCACAATATTTAGTTGATCAAGTTTTGTTGGCATTCTGTTGCTAAGTTGAGAGCCCCAAATTTAAGGACCCATTGAATGCAATATCTTTTGTGAAAAGAAACCAGATGCCAAACAGGATGCCATGTTGGCTATGCTTCTTTGTTTCTCTGGGGCCTGAACTGAAGCGGTTACACACCAAGATTTTTAATCATTTCTTTGAAGAAATGGCTTTCATCTGACTCATTGCCAAAACAGACACAATTACACCCAAGAGTTTTAACAGTTTAAAAACCTGACAGTGAAAAAAATTCCAGGTACATGAAGTAAAAAGACATTTGTATTCAGAAACCGATGGTTTTAGTCCATTTTCACATTGCTATAAAGAAATACCTGAGACTGGATAATTTACAGAGGAAAGAGGTTTAATTGACTCACAGTTCCACATGGCTGGGGAGGCCTCAGGAAACCTACAATCATGGCAGAAAGTGAAAGGGAAACAGGCACCTTCTTCACAAGGCGGCAGGAGGGAAGAATGAGAGTTCAGGAAAAAAACTGCCACTTTTAAAACCGTCAGAACTCGTGAGAACTCGCTATCATGAGAACAGCATGGGGGAAACTGCCCCCATGATTCATTCACCTCCCTTCCTTGACATATGGGGATTACAGAGATTTGGGCTCTCTCACTTTCTCTCCCCCTCAATCCCTGCCCTTTTCTTTTTCTGACAATGGCTTCAGTCCCTCCTCCAAAGCTCAGCTCTGGAGTGGCAGTTCTCCTCTACTCTTCTAAGTGACGGTACCATCACCTCCTCCGTTTTGTGACACTAGACACAGGAGTAGCAGCTGTGCTACTCCCGTGACTCTCACAGAGCCAGATCATATCACTGATAGATGAAATGAATAAAACTCACCCTAAAAGGTAAAGGATGACATTGCAGTATTGTCACTGAGGGCAATAGCAAAAAGACTAAAGTATTCCTGGTACACAATGAGACTGTTTTCAGTTTTAAGAAACATGTGGATAAGGACTCCTGTGAGAAATTTCTGGTAATACGAGCTCTGAGCATGAGAGGCTGCTACAAATGAAAAACAGCATGCTGCATTGGAGACAGGTGGAGATATGATTCATCAGGCACAAATGCAAAAGGAAAGAGGAGCGAAATTACCTGATGGATCAGATGAAGGTCAAGGAAAAATGCTGAAAATGGAAGTTGGGCTCGTGTGGAAATAAAAGCAAATGAGATAGAATTAAGAGGTAAATATGCAAAAGAATCAAATTTTTTTCTTTAAGGATGACAAGGTAAACTGAGGTACTCAGCAAAGCATTTCTGAATAACAATCCTGTAGTTTTGGAAAAGAACAAGAAGAAATAAAATGCCCTTTATTTGAATCCCCATCAACATGCAGGAAAGCCTATTAGCCTAAATAGGTAGGCATCGGCCCATTTTCAAATCAGCCTAATAAAGTATTCCATTTCGTTGATTCTTAATAGAAATAGATTCAAGCAGTGAGTTTCTACCAATTTTGGAAATATTTCAATATTAGCGAGGAAAGCAAAAAGCACACTAGGTATTTTAAACAGTGAATTTAATACATGAAATATGTTGGAAGGCAAGAAGAGGGAAAAATGAGATAAACCACAGATTAGTAACTTTAGAAAGCAGCTGCTACTCCTGTGTCGAGGGTCACAGAAGGGAGGAGGTGATGGTACCGTCGCTTAGGAGAGTAGAGGAGAACTGCCACTCCAGAGCTGAGCTTTGCAGGAGGAACTGAAGATTCTTCCAGAGTCACTGTCAGAAAAAGAAAAGGGAGGGAGTAGATGGGGAGAGAGAGTGAGAGGCAGCAACACAGCACCCTTTTCTCTCCTGCAACCCACTGATTTCCTCTAGCGCCTCCTATTTGCAGGAAAGTAATTGGCAAAGGAGCTTGGGAAACAGTTTTCAGATTTCCAGTCCCCAGCATTACGGAACAGAGTGAAAGGGTAGGCAGCACGTAGCTGAAAAACTATAGGTAAATAACCAGCACCATTAAGGACATTACTCATTCTTGTGAAAGCCAATGAAGAATTGCAGTAAGGACTAAAGTCAGAATCATGGCTGGCCTCCATTTACTTAGGAGAATTGGAAATGAGAAATTTTTCAGAGGCCAAAGTTTCTGGTGAGTGATACACACATATATACATATAATGTGCATATAGGGATATGCAGATATGTGAACCTATGTAAGATTCTCTGGGGTGGGTCTGGTCTGCTTTGGCCAGTGAAACGCTAGTGTGTATGTGCGTGTGTGTGTGTGTGTGTGTGTGTGTGTGTACATGACAGACAGTGCTACTCTGCAAGAGTGAGGTGATATTCAGATGGAATGCTGCAGAAAAAGAGGGTGTTAAAATATTAAAATAATTATTTACTATTTGTTAACAAACACAGAACATTGCACTCAGCTCTTTCAAGGGACCCCTGGCCATCATGGCACTGGAGAGCTAAGGGTGGGCATTGGAGGTGGGGCACCCTGGTGCCCCCCAGCCTTCCAGCCAGACCTCTGTAACTCTCTCACATTGGCCTTTATCCAGACTGTTCCACTCATCAGAGCAGACCAAGACCAGCCCCAGTGTGGAGGTGGGATATCTGGTTCTAGTGCTAGTGTGCTGGCTGGAACTCCCTCAGACCCACCTTCACATAGCTGTTTGTGGGAATTGCATCC